CCAAGCCACTACACTCAGCTTTTACATGGGCTGTGGAGATCTGAACTCAGGTCCTCATGATGGCACAGCAAACACTTTACTGACTGAGCCATGGTTTTGATGTGCAGGGCTTCTGAACTCTGGGTGGCCCTTGGAAGGCAAATGGGTCCTGGGCACCTAGGGAGACTAAAGTCACTCTCTGCCCTTAGATGTGGCTTCCAGCATCCCAGGACAAGCATTGCCCCCTCCCTCTACAGGTCTTTCCTCCTCATCTGCTCAGGATGCATGCATGGTCAAAGGCACCCTCTTGTCTTGCAGGTCATCTGTAGGAAGTGCTCCGAGTTCAAGGCTGAGAACAGTAAGCAAAGCCGTGTCTGCCGAGAGTGTTTCCTGGAAGAGCCCTTGGTCCCTGCAAGCCCTAGCTCTGAGACTCCCACTGAGCTCAAACAGAATGCAGAGGTGGGTGTCCCTGGTTCCTGGGACCAGGATGGATGCAGGGGGCATCTCAGTGTGGTCCACAGGTCTGTAATCAGGGAAAGCTGCTTGGAGTGTGTACATGTCTAAAGACTTCTCAGGACTAGTTAGGGCCAGGGCCTGGGAACCATTTGGACCTAGGAGTTAGATGGAGACGTGTCAGCTCCACTCTGGGCCTGATTGGAGGTACAGCATGAAACTGCCCCCAAATCTAGGCATGGAGGTTCATGGAGCAACTCCTTCACCTTAGGGCAGGTAGAGCCTTGGATGTGCTGCTGGTGGTTAATGATGGGGGGCGGGGTTGGGTGCCAGCTCCTCCTCCATTACTACCTCCTCTTTCTGAATGTGGCTGCTACTTTCCCAGCCTTTCTTCTTAAAGGACACAGCCCCTTTTATGGAGTAGCTGGACATCTCTGAAAAGGAAGCCTTTGTTTACCAGGAAAGATACATTCTCCTTTGTCTCCACTTGATGCATGCCATTGTGGTCTCCTGGGAGTTCTCTCAAATGTCAGTCTCCCTCCCAAAGATGGTGTGGGATGGTCCAAGAGGGCTAAGGTCAGCAACTGTCAAACACCTGCCACCCTGGCTGGTAGATGTGTCCAGGAAGCCAAGGGCATAAGACTCTTAAGGACTGAGGCTACAGCGGCCTTGAAGGTGAGGCTCTGGTCCCACCTGCTGATCGGCCTTCACTCTGCACTCTCAATCTGAAGATGTATTCTGGGAGTCCTGAGGATGTGGCCTAAGGCCTTGGAGGGGCACTGAGTCTTGGGTGGATCATCTCCAGCCAGAGGTATCAGAACCATGTTCATGTGGCTCAGGGGTCTTGTTTCCATGGTAGCACTAAAACACATCAGAAAGGAAGCAGGGTCCACAGAAGGTGTATGTGAGGTATGTGTGTACACATGTGTGACATGGAAAATACGTATGTATGTGGTGAGTCGGGGTATGTAGTCTGTGTAGGGTGGAGGGTATAATGTGTTTGGTCCATCCACCATGTGACCATACTCTTGTACTTACTATTGAACTTCCTCCATTTATTTATTTGTTTATTGTATTATGTAGCCCAGGCCAGCCTGAGACTTACAATCCTCCTGCCTCAGCCTCCCAAGTGCTGAGATTATAAGCACAGAGCACCATGCCTGGCTTCCCCTTGATACTTTGATGTTGTCCTGATTTGGAATGGTTTCCTAAGAAGGCCTGGCTCCAAACCTACTTGAGACCACATACACCCACCCACTGGCCTCCAGTGACCCTTAGAACCATAGAAAGCTAGCCTCAGCCTGTATCCAGGCCATGTCTCTGTGGTCACCTCCTTCCAAACACGGGCCCTGGGCCAAGCCCAGACTCCTCAGGTGAAACTACCACCAACCTATTGTTCTGTCTCCAGAAGCCTCCCTCTGTGGAGCCTCGGCCCAGCCTCCTCTGCAGCACTCTGCGTCTGTCAGACAATGGTACAACCTGGCGTGAAGTGTGGGCGGACATCCCTGAGTCAGATCCTCAGGTGCTAGACCTGCTGGCAGGCAGCCAGGTATGTGTTCCGTCCTTATTCATGCCCAGGGCTATGTGCTGTGAGATGTTCTCTGCTGCCACAGTGCACAGCCTCAAGCCTGAAGTGCCCACAGCAGGTCTGGGCCACTTCTTTGACCCCTCCAGTCATGTGACCTGGGCCTCCACTTCTCCCAATGCCCAGAATAACCCTCTGCTCCCCTCTCATGGAAGACGGGTTCCTGTAATGTCAAAATCCCAAAGACAGCCAGAGTGGGAGCGGACATAGTCAAGGGACGCAGAGGCTGGACCCTCCTCCCCACACATATTCATTCACTCACCCCTTCGTTCATTCCGACGTCTTCTGGGCAGATGCATGAGCATCTGCTGGGCACTGCTGAGCCTTGTCCTGCTGCTCTCAACCCCCATTGCTAAGTCACAGGAGTTGTCCTGCTTCACCTACCTGGGACAGGGGTTCTGAGGGAAGCCATGGATCTGGGGAGGTCTGTTGAAATGGACAGAACCTCCTCCCAGCCACCTGAAAGCCTGTCGGGCAGCCTGTCTGCAGTTGTCCTGGTGACAGGCTGCACTATGTGGGCCTGGGCATGGTGGCCTGCTTGGGTGGCCGCCGGTGTGAGCTGAAGGGCCCACTGACCCTCTGTCTTTCCTGCAGGCCGGCAGACTGCTGCATACCATCCCTCTCTCTGGCTGTACTGTAACGGTGCCCGAGCCTGAGGAGGGGCTGGAGGCAGGGTGTGTGTGGAAGCTGCATCGGGGCCCACAGACCTGGTGGCTGAGCGCCCCCTCCACACAGCTGCAGCAGTGTTGGCTGGAAGTCCTGAGCACCGCTGCCCGTGGGGACACATCTGGGGACAGACCAGGTGCCTCGCAGCCCCGAGCCTCGGCAAGCACCGACACTCCATGATCAGGGCCTCCTGCTGTCCTTTCCATGATTGTGTGCGCCCTGTGTTCTTCTTGGGTGACCTTAGAAGTCACATGAAGGAATGAAGGACTCCTGGGACCGCTGCAGACGGACTGATGGCCCAGAGAAGAGTAGCAGCGGGCCCTAGATCACTCCACAAGTCTTAGACATGAGTTGGGCTTTGGGCTCCAGCCCCGGCATTGTGGTCAGAGCAGAGGAGAATGGCCACTACAAAGCAAAAGTCATCTCAGCCCTCAAAAGCACAAGGAGGCCAGGGGGGCACCCCCCAGCCGTGATCACGACTAACCTGATGTGATATCACTCTAGGAAAGGCAGAGGTGTCTGACCTGGCCTTTGTCCATCTATCCACTGTGTGAGGCGGACCACGACCTGAGTGCCACTCCTCTGAGCTCCACACCTACACTCTGCTCTCCCCTGAAGCACTGCCCATCTACTATCCCTGCTGAGCGCTTGAAGGGAAAGGAGCAAGGGCCCTTCTCATCCTGCCATTCCCATACAGCCACACTCAGAGACTGTGAGGAGGCCGGCCCTCACCCCTGTGTGGCAGGTTGGTGAGATTTCAGACTGGCCCCTCTAGGGGCAGGTGCCATGCTCGCCAATATAAATAAATGCTGGCCATCAGTCTCAGGACCTTCAAATGCACTCTTCACAGGATTCCCCTAAGCCAGGTGGCTAGCAGAGGGATGGTGGGCAAAGGTGACAAAATGGCATGGGCCACACTCTTATCTGGGAGAGCAGTTCTGTATCCCAGATGCTGTGGGGAGTGGGTGAGCAGCTAAGCCTACGGCAGGGTGAGGATGCTAGCAGTCAAGTTGTGGGGTTGTGACGAAGGTCATGGGGTTCAGGGGGTTGTTGCCTCTGGAGGAGTAGGAAATCTAGAGAACAGTGATGGAGTTTCGGTCCTTCAGGATTCCAGCACACTAGCATCAGCACAGCACTGTGTGGGGACAGCTGGGCAGGCATAAGAGCAACTACCTAGTGAGGTGAGGGGATGCAGAGCCAGAAATGGGTGCAGGTTATAGGGAACACTGGGAAGCTAGGATGAGGTGGGGCCTCAGGTGAGACGGGGGCTCAGGTAAGGTAGGATGGGGTAAAAGTAAAGTGGGCTGGAGCAGAAGTGAGGTGGACGGGGCAGAGGTAAGATGTGTGGGGCAGGGGTGAGATGGGCAGGATACAAGGGTACAGGTGAAGTGTCAGAGCACAGCTGAACCTATGCAAGAGCCAGCTAGACTGGGCATGGCTGCCTGGGGATTGGTTGCAAACACCTGGTCCTCTGCTTGGCACTCACCATGCTGAGCTGAATGGTCCCACTTCACCCGGAGGAAACAGCAAAACAAACAGAACACTTGCACACTTGGAGGAAGGAGGCCGGGGTCTTTTAGCTCCTACTCAAGGGAATGCAGTGAAGTCCTTGCCCAGTTCTGGATGGGGCAGTGGTGAAGGTGGTCCAGGTGGAAAACCGATCGAAGGAGGCGCCTTCCTTGGCTCAGCACACTCGTGGTGGACGTTCCAGATGGCCACAGCCTTCATGCTCTGCCCATCTTCTGCTGCTTCCTCCTGCTCACAGACGTTCTGGCCTTTGCAGTTCAAGGATTCCAAGTGCCTATCCTCTGAAGAACCAGAGCCTGAGGAGGATGCCTCTGTGGATCCTGCCCCAGCTTGCGGTTTGGGAGCCCCTGGAGCTTCCTGAGCAGAAAGGTGTATAACTTACTTTTCTTGTTGCTGGGACAACATATTGGACGAGCACCTTACAGAAGACAGGGTTTGTTTGGCTCACAGTTTGAGGGCACAGTCCGTCACGATGGGGAAAACAGGCTGCGGGAGCGCTGGCTGCATTCTGTCCAGTCAGGGAGCAGGAAGGGATGAACTGGGGTCCTACCCACTTTCTCCTTTTTATTTATTCCTAAGCCGGGGAATGTTGCTGTTCACATTCGGGGTGGGTTTTCTCTTCTCAATTAAACCTTTCTGGAAAGGACCCTAATGACATGGCCGGAATTTTGTCATCTTAGTGATTCTGAATCCTACCAGGCTGGCAACACCAACCATCCCAAGTCCACTCCTTTGCCAATTTGACACTCAAAGCCATCACTTTTAAACCTTAACATTCTACCCTTGGAAGCCTTATTCATTTATTATTTATTATTATTCATTTCATAAAGCATTTACAAACTTCCCAATTTCAAATTTTTCCCAAGGTATAAGCACAGAGTCTCTGCTGAGTCTCAGGTAATCTCTTAACTTCAAGGCCCTGTGAAATAAAAAATAATACAAGTTATATACTTCTAATACGCAATGACACAGAATAAGTGTTCCCATTTCAAAAGTGAGGATTGGGGCATGGGAAGGAGACTCAACAGTTAAGAGCACTTGCTGCTCTTACAGAGGACCATAGTTCAGTTTCCAGCACCCCCTCAGGTGGTTCACAGTTACCTGTAGCTTCAGCTCCCGGGGACCTGATGCCCTCTTTTGGCCTCTGTAGGTACCCACATGCATGTGAAAAGACATGTGCACAAATAAAACAAGTCTTCAAAACTGGGGGTTAGAGGCACAACTAAGACTGAATCAAAGCAAAGCTATCACCCAGCAAGCTAAACACCAAGTCTTGACCCAGCACATGGCACAGTGGCACCATCTAGGCTCCCACAGCCTTGGGTATCCCCTCCTCTCCACTTCTGCTTCCTGCAGCCCACACAGCCTGTCTTTTTGTTCAGTTCCACCCCATACCTGCAGCTTTCCTCAAGAGGCATCTCATAGTCCCGGCGCCTTCAACATCCTAGAGTTGCAACTCAGGGCTCCGCCTTCACAGTTTCACACAGTGGTCTTTCAAATCTCTTTGAAGAGAATCTGACCACATCAGACATTGTCTGGCCACAGCTGCTGTCTAGGACTTTAGCGCAAGCCTACCAAACGCTGAAACTCTTGCATCTTGCATGCCTACAACCAGCACTAAGTTCTGCTTCTGGCTCCTCTCTACCCCAGCTGCGGTGGCTGTGTGTACCAGGGTGGTCTAATCAGAGGAGACACTTCTCTAGGTTTGTTTTCAAGCAGGAAACCTCAGTGGCATTCACGGGCCAGGCTCTCTCCTTTCAAACGGATTTGTGGTCTACAAGTTGGAGCCCTCCATGGGTGGGCTCTTGAGGTTCAGGGTGCCTTCCCCATTGTCCTGGTGATGAGCTGAGGTTTCTCTTTAAGTGCGTTAATGTCTTTAACAGGGACAGCTGCATTCACAGCAAGGCCTCCCGTGGACTTTGCACTCCCTCCCACTCTTTTGCTCACTCAGCTGCACACTTTCCATATCTTCCTGCTCCAGTTTCTGCTTTGTTTCCTGTAGACTTAGAAGAGCAAACAGTGACCAGAGGCCGAATGCTATCCTGTCTTGAAACATCCTCCACCAAGCAAATTAGTCTTTGAGTTCAGCCTCACTCAAGTTTTTGGAACATGGACAGACTTCAGGCAGATTCTTTGTGAGAATATCACACACATGACCTGTAGCCCAGTTCCCATAGAGAGAGTCCTTGTTCCCCTCTGAAACCTCATGAACCAGGCCCTCACAGTTTCTCTCCACATTCTGGTCCTCTAAACTCCCACCAGAATGGCCCATTAAGCTCTATTTACAGGAGAATTCTAGGGCTTCTCTAGCCTGCAGTTCTGAATTCCGACATTCCCTTTCCTCTTGCCAGCTTATTCTAAAGGCCCAAGAACCACATGGTCAGGTTTCTCACAGAATAGCCCTGCTCCTTGGTACCAATTTTCTGTCATTTATTTTTTCCTTTGCTCAAAAGCAACTAGAGGAAGGAAGGGCTTTTTTTCCCCCTCACAGTGAGAGGATAAGGTCCTTCAGGGTAGGGGAGACATGGCATCAGGAGCATGAGGCAGCTGGTCACATGGCATCCACAGTCAGGCCACAGAGCGCTGAGTGCTGCTGCTTGCTCAGTTTGATGTTTTTCTTTAGTCCTGGACCCCATGTTGTAGGATAGTACCACCCTCATTCGGGGTGGGCCCTCCCTGCTCAGTTCTCCCTGGAAACTCCCTCACAGACAGGCACATGTTTGTCTTCTTGGTGATTACAAGGTTCAGGACGACATCCTCTCTGCGCCTGTGTGGTCTCTGGGGTTTGGACATTAAGCACCCATTGCTCCAAGACCTTTCTTGCTGCCCTTTAGCAACCAGTCCAGGCACTGGGTGTCCAGGGAAGGGAGAAGCTCACCTTTGTCTCTGGACAGGTCTTAGGGGCATGGCGGGAAGAAGTCTGGGCCCAGACAGCAGTCGAGACAGCTGCTGTATGGTGATTCCATGGCTAGATCCTTCAGTGGCTGCCCTGAACTGTCTTCCTTGCGGAGTTCTCCATGGGCACGGGTGAGGCCAGATGTCCGTGGGTGGGGTCTAAGCCTGTCTACCTTCTCAGCACTGCCGGGAAGTCCTCCCACAATGCTCCTCCCATCCTCATCTATCACCATAGGTGGAGCATTCCTGGGGAGGAGACTGAGAGAGAGGATCCACCCAGGCCACAGGCCCTTCTCCCAGCCCTGGGCTCCACCTCTGGTTGCCGGGGTGTCATGATGCCAGGGCTGCAGGTCTTGGTGTTAAGGTGGGAGGCCGTACACCAGGGCAGACTACGGGAAAGCAGTAGCCTCCGCCAACATCCTACACATTCCAGGCGTCCTTGGCCCACCCAGCCCGTGGGTGTCTGAGTTGGGTGCCTGCTCTCAGATGGGAGTTCTAACCCAGCCTCCAGCAATCCTCCAGAAATCTATTTCTTAACCACCGGGACAAGGTGTGGTCACACAGCAATCCCACATCACTGACCAACCTCTCAGTTCACCTTTGGATCCTGAGGACTTCCAGCCCTCTTCCTGCTGGGCCATAGGAAACACATACTCAGAGGCTGTCCTGGGTAGGAACATTCCCAGAGGTCTCTGAGGATGGTACCCACCCTCTCTGCCGTCTTTGCTCCCCCTGTGCTTACAAAGCCAAGGATATGCTGTCCAGAGATTGGACTCACCCATCTCTGACCAGCTGGGGCAAGACTCAGGACTACAGGAGACTGTGCCAACAGGTGATACAGGAACATAAACCATCTCAGAGAAACATTAGAGGCAGGGAATGCGTCACAGCAGCTCTTAATTCTGGGAAAGTCAAGGGTATGCTAAGAAGTGGGCTACCCACTCTGCATCCATGACATGGACAGGACTAGCAAGTACCCAGTTCCTTCAGTCCCAGGGATTGGCTCAGGGTGGCACTGTGAGCCAAGATGAGGGTACTGTGACATGGGAGGAGCAAGCTACCCATGACATAAGTTCAGGTCATTTTGGAGCCAGAAGAAAGAAGCTCTCACTGAATTCCAAACAGAAGCAAGGAAGACAGACTGAGCTCTGATTGCACCTCAGGCAGAGATACCCTGGACTAATTGATCTCCATTAGACCTCCTACAAACAGGTGAGCTGCCCACACAGCAGCAGCCATCAGGGCCTAATGATATCTGTTAGACTCTCTCATCTTGTCCACGTCATCTCCCGCACCTAGAACCCAGGTTCACAGCACTCCAGTGAGGGGTGGGACCCTTCTTCTCCTGCCAGGGTCACACCTGCCCTCCAGGAAGCTTGGTCTTCGGGGTCCCATCAACCCACACAAACACTGCAGCCCTTTCCTCATGAATCTCCATCCCAAACAGGAGCTCAGCTTTCCTTTCTTTATCAAAACTCAAAAGATGTAAATTATTGCCCCTTTTGACAAAAAGCAACTCCTGTCTCCAAAAAACAACTAGAAAACTATTGACAACCCCAAAGCCCACCGGTTTCTAGGGGAGATAGCTTCTCATCTCAAAGCAGCCACCTCCAAGAGTCAGGGAGGCTCTGAGTCCTCTGTCCTTGCAGAGCCTCATGGGAAAGCTTCTGTCCTTCCCCACCTACAGAGGAGGACCCTGTTGCTCCTTCCAGGAGCAGACCCTGCAATATGGGTTTGGGCTCAAGGAATTTATCTGGAAGGCAATTAAGGGGCAAGGCTGAGAAGGACCAGCGCTAACACAGGTGTAAAGTGTTGAAAGGTGCCCTTTGACTCCTGGAACCCCAGATGAAGTCACTGCTGTGATTTGTGAGGTGTGGGGCTTCAGCCAGGCCCAGGGTGGTTGGGGATACTTGGACCAGAACGGCAAAAAGACAAAGTTTATTACAGAGCCCAGAGAGTAGCGCATCTCACAGGGCCAGAGGGAAGAAGAGAGCATTTGGGACTCGTGTCTTTGCCGGGGCCCACAGTGCTGTAGAGGCGAGTCTCCTGAAACACTAGATGGGCTCATCAGAAGGTCTCGTAGGGCTAAGTGCCAGGGACTCAGGGGAGGCTGTCACATTTGGGTCAAAACACCTGACAAGGGCAAGTTAAAGGAGGAAGGTTTATTTTGACTCGCGCTTTGAGGGCACAGCCTGTCATGGTGGGGAAGCTGTGGCAGCCGGAGCGATGAAGGTCGGTGCTTAGCTCACTTTCTCCTTTTTATTGAGTTCAGGACCCCAGGCCATGGGATGGTGTGACTGACATTTGGAGTGGACGAATCAGAGATGTGTTCCAAGGGTGATTCCTCACCTAGTCAAGCTGACAGTGGGGATGGACCACGGCAACTGTCAGGGCCAGCGAAGTGGCCGAGGGGCCTTATCTGTCTAAAGGAGGAACCGAGGGGGGAATGCCTCCAAAGATGCAGGTCCCATTGTCTGAGCCCGGACGGGGCAAAGGATAGCTACCAACATGGGGGGCCGGGGCTATAGCTTAGTTGGTAGAGTTCTTGTGTCATAAACCAGATGACTGTGCCAGTAACCCCAACAGCACTCAGGAAGCAGAGGCAGGAGGATAAGACATCCAAAGCTGGTCTCTATTGTGTAACAGATTCAAGGCTAGGCTGGGCTACATATATTAGAGAAAGAGAATGAGTGAGAGAGAGAGAGAGAAAGAGAGACAGACAGACAGACAGACAGAAGCCATACTGATTAGAAAGATCCTTAAATCCAATGGTTTGTGTGTTTTTCTTTCTTTCTTTCTTTCTTTCTTTCCTTCTTTCTTTCTTTCTTTCTTTCTTTCTTTCTTTCTTTCTTTCTTTCTTTCTTTCTTTCTTTCTTTCTTCCTTTCTTTCTTTTTTTTTTTTTTG